TATGTTCATATTATATATATATATATAATATGTTTAATGTAAAGTCTAATAATAAGTCCACATGCAACAAAGTCAAATAATAGCATATGTTCACCTAGAACAAATTCATTGTTTGATTGACCACAAACAACAAAGTCCACCTACTATTCTACGAATCTAAACCTACATCAACTTCCATATAAGAAAAGCAATGACCATAGCCCTAAATAGAAGCAGACATCTTTCCAAGACTAAGGAGCAATTCTCCTAATCTTCACATCTCCGGCGGGTGGCTTATCTTCAATCTCCAGTGCCAGCGGATGGCCATGGTTTGCATTCATTGGACCATAGTAGGCCGGTTGCCCATAGTTTGCAAGGTAGGCCGGATGACTATAGTAGGCCCTCAAAGCTTCAGCTTCTGTGTTGTATTTTTTGTGCAAATTACCAGGGTAGCGATTGACTTGAGCATAACAATCTTCCTAGGTTCGATAAATCCTAGGCACGTGACCAACATGCACTACATACCATGCCATGGTTGCCTATACATTTAAGTAAATTAGGTTGTCATTAAAACATTATGTATTCTTATAAAATTTAATATATTTATGAATAACACACAACCATTGCATAGATAGGAGTGTTTGGAAAACAGCTATTACTTACACCCTGTTCCGAAAGAGGGACCAAAAGTTTTTACAGTGGTTCAAGCCTAAGACATGAACTTGAGCACCTTTCAGGCTTGGGAAGCACTATCTAGTTATAGGCATCCTTTTAGATATGAACTGCATAGACTTGTTGAGGCTGGGCTAGTGAGCTCCAATTTATAGTCTTTTGGCATGTGGTACGTGGTAATGGTAACTCACTGAACAAGAGTTATTATTCAAGTTATATGGCCAAACTAAATCTATTTAATGTTCTTTATCCTTAACATGATAAAAAATTACCTCAATAATGGGACTGTTTATTATTCGGATATCAATGTGGTTTAGTAATCATACTTGCTAGCATGCAGCATCATATGTCATTACTTTTTTACTGTGCACACATAATATTTTAAGGAGGACCAACATTATAGTCCACTCCGATGCTATCAAAGTAGTTAAACAGATATCAGCCATTTCAATAAATACATGGGCGCTTCTAATAGATTAAGACAATTAATAGCAACTTGGAAACATGGTCATGTGCCAAGTTCTCTCTATCATACAAAAAAGACAAACACCTATTTTCATGATTTTGATCCCCGGTTATCAGAATGGGTTATATAACTGGTGAGAAATTTGAATCGCCATAAGTGGTCGTGATTCGGAACAGCAACTACAATGAAAAATCTAGTTCCGCTATCTGCTAACCCACCAAGCAGTTGGTGCATCCCCAAAGCGTGCTCATGGATGGAGCAGGTTGTGGCATCACAAGACCACTATGTGGTGCTCCTTCCTAGCTACTAGGCTGCAACGCACACTCACTCACTAATCGTGACTGTGGAATCTGCAGCAACTGATTGACTGCAGAGAACACAGAGAAAAGGAAGGAACTGCCTCGAGCACAGTAATTTTGGTGATTATAGCGAACACTGAAACAAAGCTGGAACAACATTGTGTATATACTTAATTCTAGAGCCCTGCCATGCATGACCTCGAGAGCGAGACTCAGTCCACCTTTGCTGCAGTTGCCGAGCCAATTTTAAAAGTTGTTTTTAACTTTTTTTCTGGAACAAACATCTATAGATGCTTTTTTTAAGAATGCTATACATTCCATCAAAATCAATTGACACTCTACCTATAGCGATTATTTTTCCTACAAATGAAATTCAGCAACATCATTTCTAGATATAGACCTTTTTTACTAATGTACGTTGTTAAGCAATGTACAGGTTGAGCTCAGCTTCCCAAATGCAGTTCTTTGTACAAGCAGGCTTAAAGCCTTTGCTGCAGATTAAAAAATAGAGGGGAACAAAATAATTTATAAAAGGAAGCTTTAAAAAATAACCAAAAAGATAACAACACATGACCATAGCACACATGTCTGTAGCCTCAGTAATAGTTACTACAACTTATGATTATATCATCATTGCACATGACCATAGCCTCAGTCCAATTAATATATTAAGTCATCATAACCTTAGTCTAAGTGCCATCATAGACGAGAGAAAACACTCAGATTAAATATAGTTATCATCGGCACTGACATCATAGGAAATGGACAGTGCTAAGAAGTAAGAAGACACCATTGGCAATGGATCAATGCTCAGATTAAAAACAACCATCATAAGCATAGACATGTGCTTGGTATAGAGAAATCCTCATAATATAATCAATCATCATTGGCATAGACATGTGCTCAGATTTATATAACAAACATATTTCAACAATGGACATGTGCTCAGTATAACCATTTTCATTAACAAAATCAACTTGAGCTTGAGCAATCACTGAGAGGCCTCACAAAGACGGTGGGGCATTTCATCAAACACAAAGACGGCAGTGAGCCACGCACTCACCGTGGGGGGTGGGAAAGCAGCTGTCCACGCTCTCCTGAAGGCCTCGGTGGTGGGAGTGCAGGCTTGGAGGAGGAGGGGCATGGCCGGCGTCGTGGACGAGGAACAAGGGCACGGATGACGTGGTGCTCGGCGTGGGCGATCAATGGTGTGGGGCAAGTGTTCGGCATGGGGGTGTGCACAGCATCAGCGTCGAAGAAGAGGAGCTTGGGGTTGGGAAGGCAGCGGGGCGGTGGACGGTGTAAAAGGGTGGCTGTGGTGCCCATCGGCGTGAGGTGGTGCTCGGTGACACAGCTTGGCGCAGGTTGAAATGAATTTGGAAGATTTCAACCAGCCGCCTTGCTATATACCAATGAGGTTCATCACCGCCGGTTCTAATAATAAATCGACATTGATGAGGAAATCATCAACGCCGGACCATTCCTCAAACCGATGATAATGGGGGGTGTAGCAGTTAGGGGTTAAGTAGTATAACTTTTCCTTCCTTTCGAATTCCTTCGACCGACTCAATGGTTAAGACTCGCAACTTAGCCCCCGAGACACGTGTTTGAGTCCTAAGGCGCCCAAATTTTTGTTTCAATTTTATAAATTATTAAATGACTTTGGGAAATTGTTCATCACTGCCGGTTGTAAGTCTAAACCGACAGTGATGAGGAAATATCACTGCCGGGTCAATCCTCAAACCAGCAGTGATGTGGGTGTAGCAGTTAGGGGTTAAGTAGAATAACTTTTCCATTTCTTTCGAATACCTCCGACTCGCTCAACGGTTAAGACCCCACAGCTTAGCCCCTG